CGCAGCAGTGTTTGGTACTCAACAGAAAAAAATACGTTATACATTTAAATCCAACGTCAAGTCTTAATGGCAAATGGTGAAAGTCATAATAACGGGAAGATTTTAAAGAGCAAACACCAGACAGAAATGAAAAGCCGTGGCATTTATCATGGCCGACTACCCCAAGCAGCCTGCCGACCATCCGCACGCAGAGCCGCCTCGCGATAAAGAGCCAGAGCCACCTCGCCTAAAGGAAGTAAACACGAAGCAAGCAAGCATGCACGTACACACACATACATACACACACACACACTCACAAACGCACACTAAACATACACGCACACACTCACAAACACACACGCACACACCTGCTAGACACCTGTGAGTGATAACCAGCCATCGCGCCTACGAGGTTGATGGATCCCAGCTGGTGACTTGCGTAGCGGTTTCGGAGTTGATGGATTGCATCGGAAATCGATTATGTCAGAAATTGCGGTGGCTGGTTGAAGAGACGCACGCTACTTCTAGACACGCACACACTGCATGTTTCCTTGGATGGACATGTGCGTTGAACTCTGCACGCGCGTGAGTAGGGTGAGAAAGCACACGCCCCTCACACACAGCCGGGGGCCTTCGCAACTTGCAGGAAACGGAGAGCACTCACACGCGCATGCAAATAAAGGCTTAAACGATTTGTATCGAACCGGCAACAAAAACTCCCTCAGCCACAAGTGTCATGAGCAGGAACTTCACACTTGGAACGCCCGTCTTAGGCCCTCCACGCCCTTCTCTCTCGACGCTCATCTCGGTCACTCTACGCCCGTCTCAACCACTCTACGCCCGTTCTAGCACTCTACGTCCTTCTCAGTCACTCTACGCCGTCTCAGTCACCCTCATGCACGCCTTCAAAGACGGAAATGACTGCCATGTACACAAAGACACACACAGACATGAATCTGCGCCCACGCCCACAGGAAAATACATAGGCCTCAGAACCCGAGACAGCACATCGGGGCCCCGAGGACTCGCATAAAAGCGCGGGACCCTTTTGCGAAGGAGAAATACGAGGTTTTTGTTACCAAATATGTCGGCTTGGGGGTGGGCCTCGGCAATGCCTCTCCGCTCTCCCCTTAAGCGGTATTCCTCCATTAGCACACAATTCTCACATGGGCCGCCTCCCATCCTTCCCTGAGCAGACATAGGCCTACTTTCCATACCCGCCTCGTGTCGCCATGGGAAGGAGGTGCAGGCCGCGGCGGGGCCCTCCTGCCTCCCGTGGCAATCGAAGCCGAATTAAACCCTTGGATAATTCATGGAATCTTGTTTAATGGTCTTTCCAATCCTCTCCTCACTTCGCGCGACGAATTCAAGCACTTCCTTCATTCAAGGAAAAATCTTTACACATCTATTTTATATTTTCCATTGCGTTTTGCTCTTTCCACTTGTTTTTCTCTCTCATTTAACTGAAACTTGTTCAGCGTCGCAGTTCGCATTTCACTAGCATTTGGCAATCACAGCACACATAGGCCTATCTATTTCATCGCATTCGCAAGCACTCGAAGCACGAACACACGCAGCACCGGGCCTCTTCTGCGCGTTTCACTCACAAGAGCGTTGGGCGAATCGACGCGCGTACCTCTGACGCTCCTCTCACGACCGTTGTCAGTGTAACACTGATCATCGCTGAACAGTGAAGCCTTACGTCGCGCGGCTGCCAGATGTATGCGCTTGTGACCCCTCGCTACTACAAAAACGCTGGCCATGTGGCCCGTTTGTCATCCGATAACTTTCCGATGTCTGATTTACTACCATTAGCCGTTCAGAAGTGACAAGTGAATTTGTGTAGAGGGCCCGAAATGCAGCCCGGCCCTGGAATGGTCTGCTGTTGTGACAGAACATGCTTTCCGGCGCTAACATTATTTCTGCTCTCTCTCTAACTCTCTACAGCATATACAAAACAGCTCAAATTTCCTCCATTTCTGTTCACTTCATGGATAGTCATTTGTGTCTCGAATTCCCTTGTACTGATGAAGGTTCGATGCTGATACATGATCTCTCTTTTCACCTTCTCCCCTCCGTCCCCTTTTAAATCTCCCTTTCTTTCTTCCTCTCTACCTTGCCTTTTTTCTCCATAACCTTTTCCTCTCTTCCCCCCCCCCCCCTTTTACTTCCCACCTCCCTCTTTCTTCCATTCTGCTTTCCCTTTTATTACCATCTAGCCTTTCTCTCCCTCTCTCTCTCTCTCTCTCTCTCTCTCTCTCTCTCTCTCTCTCTCTCTCTCTCTCTCCTTGTCCAGTACCTTCTCTGTCTCTACTCCGCTTCCACACTCCTTTTTCATAAAACATGACCCCATATCTTGGGAAAAAAAGAGAAAGATGTAAGGATAGATAGGTAGGTAGGTAGATAGGTAGGTAAGTGGGTAGATAGATAAAAAAAGAAATTGACAGACAGCTAGATAAAGAGATAGGCACAGGCAGTGATAGAGACAGGCAGATAAATCAATGTGTGCGTGCGTGTGTGTGTGTGTGTAGTATATATATATATATATATAATATATATATATATATATATATATATATATATATATATATATATATATATATATATATGTATATATATATACTACACATACACACACACACACACACACACACACACATATATATATATATATATATATATATATATATATATATATATATATATATATATATATAGAGAGAGAGAGAGAGAGAGAGAGAGAGAGAGAGAGAGAGAGAGAGAAAGAGAGAGAGAGAGAGAAAGAGAGAGAAAGAGAGAAAGAGAGAGAGAGACGGAGGTGCATTATCACGAAAAGTTCCATGTTTGGCTCATATCTCCGAACACGCACACGAAAAAACACACGAGAGTAACTCGAAATTTATACATTTTTTCTACTTATTTTTCAAAAGTTTCGGGAACAGTTTTGTAAGCTCGTTATCCCTGAACATTTTCCCCGCGGATGCTGGCTCCTTTTTATCGACTGGATCTGAATGCTGTCTGTATATCATTCATTAATTCGTAAAATTCTAAAACGCTTATTAATCACCGTAACACACCTCACCAATAAATATATGACCTTTACGAACAAGGTACATGTTAAAAAAAAAAATGTATTCTAGACAGTATACAAGCAGACGCATGTACAAACACACAGATATGTACAGACACGCATACATAACTCACGATAAAGCATTCTGGTAATTTTATGAGCTCGTAGATTCAACTTTTCAGGGTACTTTTAATTCCCTTGATAAACAATGACATGGAGAATAATGCGAGAACTATTTGCATAAAGTCTAACAACTCAGAAATATTACAAAATAGTGTAGACAATTCAGAAACTATAGCACTGAAAATCCAATAGTGATGGTAACGATGATGGCATCAATAAACGATATAAAAATAACAACCTGTGGCTTTAAGAACAAACAGAACCTAAAACAGTACAATTAAAACAAACAAACCACCACAGAAAAAAACGAATCCAACGAAACCGACGAAAGAAAAAAAACAAAAAAACAAAAAAACAAAAAAAAAATCCTTCTCCGCGAGATCGCACTCAAAAAGAAAAAGAAAAAAAAAAGAAAGAAAGAAAGAATAAAAACGTATGCCACAGACAGAGGCAGAGAATAAAAAAAAAGAAAAAAAAAAGACGGGAGAGAAAAGGAAGAGGCCCGGAAAGACAAGAGGTCGAGTAAACGATGCACCAAGAGGAGAGTCGGCGCACAAAGAGCTCCACCTCTTCCTGTGGAGTCTGACCTCTCGACCTTTGGAGACGGCACAACGCTTTTTTTGGCGTTCGCGGTCGATATGCTCCCGCTTACGGCTCATGTACACCTCTCATCGCTAACGGGAGGTGCAATCACTACGGACTCTCCTTTTAAAAACAGATTAGAACACTTAGAATCGCTAAAATACCACGAAAATCGTCCGGAAAACAATAGATACAAACCAAGGACACTGGAAGGAAAAAAAATAAACGAAAAGAGCATCAGCCAGCCAGAAAAGACAAAAGAGCAGCGCTATAAATCCCCGAAGACGCTTAAGCTCCTCCATGATCCTCCTTTCCGGCCTGACCCAGAACAATGTGGGTTCAGATCCTCCATAGCTTTGCCGTCACCTTCACCTCCTTCGAGTCGGCGAGAAAAGGGGAACCGGCTATTGTAGGTGACGGCGAGGCGTATGGAAAAATCCATCAAATGACAACATTATGTAAAAGTGACTATTCTTTTCTATGACAGCGCTAAATAACTAGTAATTGATAGGGAATGTACTGCTGGCGATAACACCGAAAATCCCAGCATCACTTTAAATAACCATCAACGATAATAATGACGGTTACGACTCAGAAATAATAATTAATAACAATGGCATAACGAATGACAGCCATCAAATTGCACAGAAATGGCAAGGGTATTAAAATCATGATAAGAAAAGTGATAAAATAACAATAAAATTATACCCCCGTTTTAAACACGATCAGATGGCGCTGAAATATGAACCGGAGTGGGGAAACGTGACCAGAATGGGATAGCAATGTTTTACTTCAAAAGTTGATAGAAAATGTCAAATATAAGATTGCATGGCTGCAGAATGCTGAAACATTAACAATTGGGATTTTTTCCTTTCTCGTATCCCCTTTTTACCTTTCATTCATTCATCCATTCTCCCTTTCCTTCTCTCTAATTTCACACGCCCCTCTCTTTCTCCTGCCTCCTCTCCCTCTCTTCGTTCCTCCTCTCTCTTTCGAAACTCAACTGTGTTGTGAAATTTGCATTATTCATAATAATGTACATATTATACATTAACATTTGCCCTACAAACAAACACACGCACGCACGCACACACACACACACACACACACACACACACACACACACACACACACACACACACACACACACACACACAAAGACATGTACACATACACATACACAAACACGCACGCACACATCACAAATACAAAAAAAAAAACACACACACACAAACACAGACACGTCTAAACCACTCTTGCATCATTATACATAATTTCCCGCCTTCCAACTTCTCTCTCTCTCGAGCACGTCGTCTGCCGCTCAGCTTATCCGCACAACCATTACGAAAACCGGTCTTAAAACGAAGGCTAAACACACTATCATAACATTCTTGAAGACTTGTAAACTTAATTCCACGAGACAATTTCCTTCATAATCGAGAAATGCGCAAAATGATAACAAAAAGCAAACGTCAAATACACATGCGCCTTACCTGTTTCCTCTTTTTTTTTTTTTTTACTATGGTGTGGTTTCTCGTCCGACTTGCTGATTATATTCACTTGGATGAATTCTACTCTGGTTGACTCAC